CATCGCAAGGGTTTCCAAAACCTGCCAGCGAACTCTGCAGCTTGAACCGGGTTAGGATACTTGCAAACTACAACCCAGGTGAAATCACAGGAAGAATCTATATAGAAAAAATGGTTTTGCAGCTGCCCCCTTGAGAAAAAATAAAGTTGTATAGCTGTCAATGTAGTCTCGAATGTCTCTTCAGTGCCACACCCTGTGCGCACTCTCTGCGCTCCCACACCGTGCAGCCCGCACCTGACTTGGGCGTGACCACACCGCGAATCCTGCTTCGGGTGCCCACACCGCAGGTGCTGCTGCAAGGGGTCCACATCTGCCGTCGGGAGGCGAACGCGGCGACCATCGTATTTGTTTCTTCCACGCTCATCCTCAGGGCTTTCCTTTGAGTGCATTGAGTGCATTTATAAGGTAAAGGAATGCGCATGGTCCCCATGGATACTATGCATCCTGTAGGGATTCCTGAACCAACCAACCTTGGGTTCGGCCGACTCATTCTCTACTGGTCACAGCAACTGTTTCTTTTGCAAGGTGATTTGACATGCTTCCAGCTCTCGTAAACATTAGGTAATTGAGCGATATATGCTCATCGTAAGTGGTCACTTCGGTGTGCAAACCCACAGCCGTTCCTAAATCATGTCATGGATTTCGTCTGTGCAAAAGGCATGAGTTCTTTTAGCATCACCAGCCTCCCAGCTGCCCAGGACACAATCAATGTCCTCGATTGGCTCATCGCAAGGACCTGTTTCCTGTGTGGGCCCCACACATGGTAGACCTGCAACGAGACACTCACTAGCGGCTAGCGCACAAGACCCTACATGTTGCCTTCACGCTGGAACAGTGGACGTTCACATCAGCCCAAATGGAAAGCTGCATCTTGCAGGAGCAAGGCTTACAACAGAAACTCACTTTAATGGCCCATCTTCACTGGCCCACTGCAATTTGCATCTCATGTCTTGAAGGCGGAAGTCCAACTTGCAGGTGCTATTTCGCAACATGTTCAATGGTCAGTGATCATGATAGGGGAAGGGCGCTACGAATTGGAGTTTCTGAGAGCGAAAACCAAAGTCGTGAACAAGATGATTGGATCTGGCCGCTGGCAAGCGGACCACATCCATCACATCCAGCAATATTCCAAAGCAGCCATTGTCGCCTCCATTGGTAGACTCCTGTTTCACATTACGGCTGCGCATCTTCTGACCGCGGCCGCCTGCGCATCTTTGGAAGCAACAGCTCATGGGGCCCCCTTTGCAATTTGGTTCACATGAAAAGAAGGAGAGCGGACCTTCAAGTTCTGGGCCGTGCGTTTTCCACAGTAGGGCAAACCCCAATGGACCGGCATGGACCCACGGATCATTGTGCTCCCTCCAAAAGAAGGCACCCGAGGTTGGGCTTCTACCATAAGAACCTCATGGAAAAGTCTGATGTTGTTCTTCTTCCCTTTGCCGGCAATCGTTTGGTGATTCTACCGACTCTACAGTGCAAGTATCCTCACTCGAGAGCAGTGAGCGTGGACGAAAGGTAGCGGAGAGCTCTGGACCGACTCGGTTCTTTCTTCTCACGGACAAGGTACCAGGGTGCATCGAACTGCACTACTGGGCAACATCTTTCCTTCCAAAAGCAAAAAAGCGGGACCTAAGTCTGATATACTGTATCTTGGGAGACCCTGACCAAATAGCGATCTCAACCCCAGCTTTCAAAAGCTGGCTTTCGTGACAACACATTGAGTGAGTAAGCTTCAAGCCATCATAGGTTCGCGCCTTCACAGGTGCTCGAGTCCCAGGCTGTCCATGCATCAAAAATGCAGTCCACAGGATCTTCGCAATCCTCCCAAAAGATTGCCACACTGTGGTCCACCAGAAAGTCAATCTTCGCAATCTTTCTAGAAGTAGGAAGCTGAAGCCGCAGTCCTTTCGGCAGTGCATGGTGGAAATCAAGGGCCCATCGCAAGCTTCACCGCCACATTCATTCATCCTCAGACAGCGCTGCGCTGCTTCATCAAAGTTCAACAGGTCAATGTAGTATGACTTGGTACAACTACTCAGAATGGCTCACAAATACAGTTTGATTCAGGAGAAACGGTAACTGCAGCTAGCACTTTTTCAGTTGAAAGACAAACACCATGAGGCTTGAGTGAAGGTTTCAGGCATTTGGTCCATCCAGGGGCGGTCCGTCAATTACAACCCAAGCCAATACGGTCACACACTCCAGAAGATCCCGGGGTGTTGCTTCAAACAGAGAACATCTATACTACACCCAGCTGATCAATGAAGGTCAGGCCATTAGAAAACAACCCCGGTCCCCATGGCTCCTGGCTTTGACAGCCAAAAATACTCCATCCTTCCCTAAAGGTGCCAAAGCACTTAGAGATCACGCGATGTCGCTCACCTCAGGGATACTCTGTGCAAACACACCATGAACGACGCTGAACACTCGGCAGGTCGTCTCGTCTGCAGGAACGCAGTCACAAGACAGGAAATGCCACTGGTTCTGCCACATGTGTTCAAGAGAGTGTGTTCTCTTTTCTTCCAGTTGTGTATGTCTTTTTTCAACTTAAACAAACAGTTGGGCTAAATCTCAACTTCAAACCTTATTTACGGCCCGAGTCGCAAAGCTGGGTGCAACTGGCACCGCTCCACGCCGACCACGCCCCGAACTCGCAAGCGACGGGTTGGCAGGTCTCACAGCTTTTATATGGACACTCCTCAGCAGCGCCATCGCCACCAAGATTGTCATTAAAACGTCTTCAAAACAGCGTTGTGAAATGACGACCCAACCTCGACTCTGGCTCCTGGGATTATAACTATTTAAAGTGTGCGTATATATACAAAACATGAACTGCCACGAAGTCGCCTTGACGTCCACCTGCCAGGCAGAACAGGTATTTGTCTTCTCAGCGCGGAAGAAGTAGCCAGACACCCTGGCCGGATCTGTAATCACCAGGATCATGCATATCGCACCATCACCCAGAAGACTGGTGATACAATGTGTCTGCTGCTGGACCGGTGGTTCCAGGGGAGCAAAGGTTTTGAGGGCATTACAAGTGCTGGCAAACCCAGAAAGCTCTTTCGCGACCCTGAGATGATGCCTCTCACCATACCAGTTTCCAGACACGTAAAAAATGCTCTCCCTGGCAGTCCTCTTCCAGCACTTCCAGCCCATTGTGCCGTCAACTCCAGTAATATCACCTGATTCAACCAGCAGGCGCTCAGACATTATGATGAAAAAGAACGCACAGGACGATGTGATTTCAGTCATTTTAGTTCATATTATTTGACTCCAAAATGGTCACTTTGTGCTTTGCTAAGGCACCTTGAGTTGGATCAGTTCCGCCCATTTGTCCATTCAAATGGATGTCAACGGGGTGGCTGAACATGTAGGGTTCAAGAACCACGTTGTCGTCGACCTGGGTTATCAAAGTGCAGCAAAAACAAAACTGTAGCCACCACCCATGGTCCAATCACTGGGATCTGCCAGCATCGGAGAACAGGATGCGGCAAGAAACCTCCATGCTAAGTCGCGACACAAGGAATTTGCAGCAAGTTGGACTTTCAAAGGAGCATGGTCAACATCAGTTTGTCCAAAGAGAGAGAGAGAGAGTCTTTTTGGTGAATAGAAAGATACGGTCAATGAGATCCAACAGCCATCCTCGAATTGACCAGCTACAATAGAAACAGTACGTTGCCTTGTCACCTGAGAGAGTGGCTTCAAAGGGTGGAAAGTATGGAAAACAAATTACCCGGTCAAAGTCAGCCTCTTGTGGCCAACTGGTGACCAGAGTTCGGCTGTGGCAAAGATGCAAAGCCCAAAGGTTCAACTGCTAGACTTCCCACAGGCCCACAGGCCAAGCCACAGCAAGATCGCACGCCTGATCCACCTGGTTAAACCTGAGCTCATTGTAGCTCGAATATCGAAAACATTTGTCTAAGGTATGAAAGCCCTGCCATTTGATAGATCCTAAGTTGAGTACAGTAGTGCAAACATATGTGTATATATGAAACTAAGTGTGTATATATATAACTTATATAACTATATACCAAATACACATCATTCAACAAAAGAGCCAACATGAGAAGTGTCGACCATGACAATACCAAACGGAGAGACAAATATGTCAGGCGATTTAGCAGTCAAGTCACTGGACCCCTCGCACAATGGCTGTGGCTTTGTTGGTGTTTTCCAGCACGCCAAGGCATTGCATTTCACTTGTTGCGCCATTCACGCGGTAACTTTTGAAGTAAGCATTGTCCTCACAAGGACGATCAAAGCCATCAAAGCTCAGAAAACGGAGGTTGAACAAGAACAAAGGAGACTCTGTTTTTCAGCTCACAAGCTTTTGGTGACAACTCCTTGCAAAGCCAGGAGCATCAAAGCCCTAGAGTTTCATGGAGAACCTTCCAAACATAGTGGGGGGTCTTGATCGGGGGGAAATCCTTTACAGTTGTGTATCGTTGACAACACCAGCATCGCAGTAACCTTTCGTCTGTTTCCGCTTTGATGACTGTAGGTCTGAAGATGAGTCTTGTGACCCCAAAAGTGCACCAAAAAATAGAAATAAAGCTATCATAAACTACATATCTAGATAGTTGCAGGTCACACCTACCTTCTCTGCACAATTTTGCGATGGCCTCTGCTGCGAAGAAATTGTGATAGTCATCCATCTCACCCATTCTGGTGGAGATCAATTGGACTGGGCACTGGCTGTTCCCACTTCGCTCTTTTGGGGAGCCAAGAGGCACGTTGGCACATACCAACTCCGATGAAGACATTGCTTCCAGGCACTTCCTGGTAACGAGATGTAACGAGGCCATTCCGAGGCTCAAATCCATTCAGCAAATACCCATACCAACAATGCAAAGGCCTTGTTGGATCTAATCATGCATCCAATCAGGCTACGAGTTGGTGACCGCGAAGCAACGCCGCGCCTTGTGCATGAAGTTCAAGGAACGTTGACGCATCTGGACCTTGCCAGTGGCCAAACGAGCTTCTAATAGCAGCACGGGAGGCTATGAAGGACAAAGGCACCGGAACTCATTCTTACGAGCACATGCTAAAGGCTGCAAAAAGCTGTTATGTAGAGATGAGCGATCAGTGCAGTCTTGCCAGGTGACAGCAGTGCCGCACGTGGAACTGCAATCGCCTAAAGAACTCCACTGCGACCAGCCGCAAAAGCCTTCATCCTGCGTCATGAAAATTCAAGGAACTCGCACTGCAAAACATATTCATTACAAAACACCTGCACAATTTGGACAGGGGCACCCCAAAAAACAAAGATAATAATGGTCGAGTCACTCTGTCTTTTGACATGTCTTGACACCGAGTGCCCAAAAGCCACCAAAACTCAAAGTTCCCTCCTCGCAGTGGCTGGTGCAGTCTCCGACCTCTTTCGCCACAGATGGGTCGCACAATTTGCCACACTCCTCAGCACCAACAGTGCAAAGGTTTAAACGTCGGGTCCTGTTTACATTAGATAAGTCAAAAGACCAAGTTCATACGCAAATCTTCAGATTTGCAGGTCAAAGGACCAACTCTTTAGAAGAAAACAACCGTCAACAAAACTCTATTTAACTATCCCTGTGTGTATTACCCAGGTGGGGTTATGTCCCCCATTTTCTAGCACCTAAATTGCGGGACATGGATCTGACACTGGAAAATGGGTGTGCACCCCACTAGAAAATAGAAGGACATAGATTCCAAAGGCTAACAGTAAAAAAAACAAAGACTCACTAGAAAGTGGAAAAATGACATATCAAAGATGTTTATGTTTGTGGCCTTCAAGGTCATGATCCCTATTTGGGCTTCATCAACATTGCAATTTATAGTAAATGGGTGGTTTTGTTCCAAATCACCAAATATAGGTTACTAGAAAAAGAAAAAAAAACATTTTCTAGTGGCCATAAGGCCCAGCATTCTCCAGTGAAAATGCGCACAGGGATATTTAACTCTATTTCATGGTCTGACAGTGCCTTCCGACCATCTCCCTGAGACAAGCATCGTTGGGCATCCGGATGACACTACGCTGGCGGTAGCGCTGACCACCACATTTGGAGCAATCACCCCAGTCGGACCAAGCACCCCAAACACAGTCCTGGCGTGGCGGATGAGTCGTTGACAGCAACGAAGCTTTGACGAAGCATGGTATGGTGAGATGAAACGGTCACTGTCATTTCAACAGTCTACTGCCGTATTCACAGGCCAGGCATAACAACAAGAACTCTTTGCGACAGTACAGGATCAGCGCAGGACAAAGAAGCAACTGTAATCGAAGCTTTGGGGAGATATCCCAAGTAAGGATCTTCCAAATCTTATATGTTTGTGTGACAATATGTGAGTATGGATGCTTGTATATATAGAGGGAAGCGGTGGTCCCGTGATTTGTCAGTAGTCCTTGCAAATCTTCTGCTCGCACGCAACGGAGCCACAGCCTGTCAGAAAGGAAAAGCACTAGTGCTTCTTAGACGGGAAAATTCAGCGATCAACAGCACCTGGGCACTTCTCCAAAGCTCAAACGGATGTTCTCTTAGCTGTTTGTGTTTTGATCCGTAGACATGGCTTCAGAACTATCCAAAAATGAAGGACGAGTCACCAAGGGAGGTGAGGCCCGAAGCACTCAGGCCCTAGGCGCCTTGAAGTTGCTCCACTGGGCCGTCGCAGGGAGCCTGCAAGCACAGCGCTAGTGGCAATAATCTTTGAGTCTAAATGAATGAAAGTCTTCAAGGCCTAGGACCAGAGTGACCAGAGGCTTAAAAAGGTGCAAAATGGAAAGTCTCACCTGGAGCCCTTCTTAAACTGAGCCGAGCTTGAAGTCCACATGAGCTAAAGTGTGTCGAAAACAAACGTCGTTCCCGCATGGCTCCGCACCCCATCGTTGCTGTTGGGCGTTTTGATGTGGCGGCTGCGCTCGCGCATTCCGCCATCGCAGGTGGCTGAGCATTCGCCCCACTCCCCCCACGGAGCAAAATCGCAAGGACGCTTCTGCAAAGGTCCACAGTGCAGTGGTGCGAGGCCTACCAGAGTCAGCTCATGCAATTCATGTTCCATGGTGAATGACCAACCGACTGAACACAACCGAATCCAACTCTTCACACCAAAAAATCTTAACCACACAACACCGCATTCCTCTCAAACCTCCACAAAGCTTGCCTCCAGGCAAGGGGTTGCAAGCTGACACCTCCTCCAAGGCTGCAAAGCCTCCAGAAATGGTCACTCGCTGCGAGGTATAGCCGTTCTGCGAGGTATAGCCGTTCTGCGAGGCATAGCCTCCCTGATTGTCCCACTGATTCATCGTCGTCATGGAGTGCCCAAGAGCAACTGCGCCGCAGGACTTGCCATTGCCCTGGCAATGATGGGAAGTCGTGACTCCAAAACAAGTGTTGCTAGGATTTGCTGACTATAACTTGTTGCGACTCAAGCCATAAGAAATCAATGATTGGGATGGTAGCAGCGACATTGCGATACATTATGTTGTAGGTGCTCTACCTGGGGAGAAAAGCAGATTCCACACACACCCAGACCACAGCCTTGGCAAACTGCTCGATGCGCCGATGACGCTCCTTGACACCGTAGCAGCTGCAGGAGCACGCCGACCACTCACCCCACTCAGCCAGCAAGCAGTCGCTGTCGGCGGTGCAAGGTGGCTGATCAGTGCACACCTGGTACTCATCCTCCAGTCCTTGGTGTTGTGACAAGTGTCCCGCAGGTCAGTGCAATAAAAGGAAGAGTAAGTTGGAGGCCATCGCTAGTAGGTTGGAGGCCATTAAAAAAAGATTTAAAAAAAGAGCTTTCGAAAACTTAGGCATTTCCCAACCGCCAACCGCCTTCGATCAATTTCTTCACCAGGGCACCCACTGCAGGCTTACCGCAACTGTTGGGCCTTTGGATGACATCTCGGTGTCGCACACGGAAGCCGCTGTCGCAGGTGGAGGTGCACTTGGACCATTCGCCCCAGTTCCCCCAAGCGCCATCGATGCAAGCATCACAGCTCTGAGTGTTGCAAGGCGCCACCTGCCACAGGACTTTGCGGCTTTTCGAGCTTCTGCTCGGGGTGACACGCTTGTTACCAGTAGCCTTCTTGTTACTAGTAGTAATGCCCTTGTTACTAGTAGCGATGCCCTTGTTCAAAGACAAGAATGACCCGTTTTACTCATTCAAAACTCACGGATTCTTCTCCAAAACTGTTCACAGTTGCACCATGTTGCACCCTTGCACTGGTGAGGTCTTTCTACCTACCCAAACCAGGAGTCTTTGAACAGGACCAAACGGAACCCACTCAAAAGCACCCCAACCTGTCAAAATCGTTGTTTCTGCCAGGGAGGTTTGGCCTCCTTTTGGCCCCCTAAGTGGCCTCTGACTTGTCCACCGCCTCGCACATCTTTCCGCCATGGCGAGGTGCCTCGCCAGAAAAAACAGATGTGCAGACTGAAAGACTTGGAGCAACACAGTTTCTTTCCTCTATTACATACCTCTGTAGTTGTCTACACTGCTGTACATGTACCCGTCCATGCAGAACTGCAAAAGCCTTCAAGCCTTCAAGCACAAAAGGTGCTCCAGCTGAACTGCTCTGACTCTAACTCTAAGCACACGATCACACGCTTTCTCCAAACAGGACCCGACGACCATGCTGCCCTGCTTGTGGCTTGCAAAAGTGAGGACATTCGAGTCTGTCGAGCCCACCACAGTCGTTCACACCCGCCCACGGCCTGAGCAATCACTCGGTTCCGGCGTTTGGTGCCACCGGCGCAGGTGCAGCTGCAGGCACTCCAAACATCCCAGTTGCCCCACCTACCACGACACAAAAAAAAGGCAACGACAGACGCTGACTTGTCGAGCAAAACATTCCCAAGGACGAGCTTTCTTGGAGCATGCACATCACCTTCCAATCAATCTTCAGACACCAAACTGTTTCGATGAGCTCCTGAAAAACAAAAACATACTGATGGTCTACTGGTCGGAGATCACTGTGTGAGCAAGTCTGCTTCGTGGTTTTTCAAACGCAGGACCTGGATGATGCTGGTAGAAAGATAGCAAAACGTTGCGAGTTTAGGTCTTTCTTTCCATCTAGGCCGGCCAAGCTTGAATCAAAAGCTGAGTTCAAAAATAAAGGCTGATATTCTTGGCCAGAAAGTATCACAGCACGGCCTGCAATCGACCTCCCCGCAGTCTGTCATGCAGCCCTTTACCTTTGCAGAACAAGTTCGGCTAAGCAAAAAATTCAGCAACTGTAAAAGCAGTGTGTTGCCAAACTGATGAAAAATCATTCCATTCAGAAAAACTCTAAAAAAATGTTCACCTGCGAGCTCATCAAGATGCTCAACAAACTGAACAGACCTTCCATTACCTCTTACCTGACCCACCCAAAAAGAAGCTCTCCGTCAAGTCCCGCACCTCCTTCAAAGCCAAACCAGCCCCCAAGCCGCCAGAGCCCTCCTTCACAATTTGTCGGCTTCGCTCGGTGGTGCCCAACTCACACTTCCGGCTGCAAATCGTCCACTCCGACCACTGCGAGAGCCTGGAGCCAGTCGCGCCCCTTTGGGAGAGAAAGAGGAATGCAAGAGTGGTTTGGTGACCTCGGTGATTGAACAAAAAAGCAACTGCGTCTTTTCTCCTCGGAAAAAGGCCCCAGGTGTTTTGAGTGTATGGTAGAGGAATTCTAAACCTCTTGTTTTCTTCACTTGGTGTGGATTTGCATCCCTTGCTCGGATGCGGCTGGCACTTTGCGGACACTGTGCCACCAAGTGACTCTGACTCCACCACATCCATGCAATGCTGCTGGCCACAAGGACGAATCTCCTGGACACGATGGCCTCCAACCTACTTCAATGGCCTCCAAACTAATAGCGATGGCCTCCAAGCAAGCCCATGAATGCTCCAGAATTACAGTTTGTACCAAGAATGGAGCTTGGGAAGACTTCAAACTCTTGCCTCCCTGCTACCCAGTGCTTGCGAAGTCAAACCAGCATGCTTCAGGTCAGCAGGCTGCTGTCCTTCCAATAGATCTGCAAGCTATCCATTTCCATTTCGGGCCCTTCAGGCTCCCCATAATGGGCTTCGGTCATGCCGGTCGTCATGCCGGTCGTCATGCCGGTCATCGTGCCGGTCATGGGCGACCTGCCCCCAAAGATCTTGGTAAAGTTCAGTTTGCAGGCTTCGGGCGACTTCTCTTCGTCGATTCCACGCGTCCTGCGATCAACACAATCCCTCCAAGCAAAGGGGCTGGAAAGTCACCACAGGCAGCATGACAAGTGGGCAAAGTAAACTAAGCAAACAGCAAAAGACATAAAACGTTCAATCTCCTCATAGACTGTCCACCGCAGGTAGCCGTGCAAGGTGTCCAAATGGTCCATTGAGACATGATGCACTCGATCGCTGGCTTCTGAACAAGCGGCTTCGCATGGAGTCTTGGGTCACTGCCACTATCTATATATGCAGCGATGCCAGGAGCCCCTAGTAGCGTCCTTGCTCCTAGTAGTATGGCCAGGAGCCCCTAGTAGCGTGTTTGTTCCTAGTAGCGATGCCCTCTGCTGCTAGTAGTTTCTTATATATATATATTGCTTAATTCATCTATTTACACCATTCTACCCTTCTCCTCTCGCGATAGGAAAAGTCCCAGTCTGAAAACGTCCTATGATTCAGCCAACACTCCATATGATACGCATGTTTATCTGAGATAAAGTGCAAGTTGACTTCAGGTTGAGTTGGTACATCTAAAGACACATGACACCGCCGTCGACCCCAAAACAGTTTGTGTTTTTCAATATCGGAACACTCTGCAACTAGAGTTTGCGACGTCCAGAGCTGGGAGACAAAGGATTGCAAGGCAGAGGCGGACGCAGCAGCCCAGAGCTGGGAGACAATGTAAAGGATTGCAAGGCAGAGGCGGACACAGCAGTCCAGAGCTGGGAGACACGGGAGACAAATGACAATGTAAAGGATTGCAAGCGACACGCAGCCCAGAGCTGAGAGACAAATGTAATATTGCAGGGCAGAGCAGCTGGGAGACAAATGTGAAGGGTTGCAAGCGAGAGGGGAGGCAAATGTAAAGGAAAGAAGGAAGACAAGGCGGACACAATGACCAACAAGAAGGGGGACAACAAGGGAGACAAGAGGGAGACAAAAGGAAACAGAAGGGAGACAAGACGGACAGAATGATGAACAAGAAGGGAGACAAGAAGGAAGACAAAAGCACAGAGAAGGGAGACAAGACGGACACAATGACCCACAAGAAGTGAGACAAGACCAGAGACAAAGAAAGAATGAAGGGAGACAAGGCGGACACAGTGACCAACAAGAAGGGAGACAAGAAGGGAGACAAAATGAAACAGAAGGGAGACCAGGCAGACACAGTGACCAACAAGAAGGGGGACACAGTGACCAACAAGAAGGGAGACCAAGGGAGACAAGCCGGCCGGAAGGCGGACACGCTGTCCGGCAGCGGAGACTCTTAGAAAGCATTTAGAACCCCTAACAGTAGCCTGTTTGGTGAAGTACAGAAATCACCTGGGAGACAAATGAACAGAAATTCTGGAAAGGGGAAAAGGGCGGATGCCAGCAGTGCAGGCACCGAACCTGGGAGACAAAAGTAAAGAAATCATTTTAAGGGCAAACGAATTGAATGCTGCATGGCCAGCAGAAATGGGCGGACACCAGCACTGACAGAAAGGGCGGACACATCTTAAGAAAGAATTGAGAAACCCTACGTAACGGCAAACTGCTTGGGGAATGAATAGAAATGTTGCATCGCCAGCGGAAAAGGGCGGGAACAGTAGTGACACATCTCGGAGACAAATGAACAGAAATGCTACATGGCCAATGGAAAAGGGCGGACACCAGCAGCGACAGACCTGGGAGACAAATGAAAAGAGATGCTACATGGGCCATGGCCAGGGGCAGACACCACCAGTGACAGACCTAGACCTGGGAGACAAATGAATAGAAATGCTACATGGCCAGTGGAAAAGGGCGGACGCCAGCAGTGACAGACCTGGGGAGACAAATGAATAGACATGCTACATGGCCAACAGAAAAGAGCTGACACCAGCAGCGGAAAAGGGCGGACACCAGTGACAGCGGACACCAGCAGCAGAAAGACCTGGGAGACAAAGGCGGAATGCATTTTCAGCGGAAAAGGGCGGACACCAGCAGGACGGCTGCGAGACAAATGAATAGAAATGCTACATGGCCAGCGGAAAAGGGCGGACACCAGCAGCGACAGACCTGGAGACAAATGAATAGAAATGTTGCATCGCCAGCGGAAAAGGGCGGACACCAGCAGTGGCAGACCTGCGAGACAAATGACTAGAAATGCTACATGGCCAGCGGAAACCGGCAGACACCAGCAGTGACAGACCTGGGGAGACAAATGAATAGAAATGCTGCATGGCCAGCGGAAAAGGGCGGACACCAGCAGACACCAGCAGTGACAGACCTGGGAGACAAATGAATAGACATGCTACATGGCCAGCGGAAATGGGCGGCCACCAAACAGTTAAACTGTTTGGGGAATGAACAGAAATGCTACATGGCCAGCGGAAAAGGGCGGACACCAGCAGTGACAGACCTGGGAGACAAATGAATATATAGACATGCTACATGGCCAGCGGAAAAGGGCGGACACCAAACAGTAAACTGTTTGGGGAATGAATAGAAATGCTACATGGCCAGCGGAAAAGGGCGGACACAAGCAGCGACAGACCCGGGAGACAAATGAATAGAAATGCTACATGGCTAGCGGAAAAGGGCGGACACCAGCAGGGACAGACCTGGGAGACAAATGAATAGAAATGCTACATGGCCAGCGGAAAAGGGCGGACACCAGCAGTGACAGACCTGGGAGACAAATGAATAGAATGCTACATGGCCAGCGGAAAAGGGCGGACATCAGCAGTGACAGACCTGGGAGACAAATGAATAGAAATGCTACATGGCCAGTGGAAAAGGGCGGCAGCCAGCAGTGACAGACCTGGGA